CTGGCTGACCGGCTATCCCGCCAACTGTCAATTTGCTGAACTGCCAACTGGCTTGCTGGATTACTTGCTGAACCATCTGGTACCTTGCTAAACCACCAACTGTCAACGAGCTCAATCACCAACGGGCTCCCTGATGGAACTGCTAATTGGTAACTGGCCGGATGCCAACTGTCTTACTGGTTCAACTGGCACTGTCTTCCTGGCTCAACTGGCACTGTCTTCCTGGCTCAACTGGCACTGTCTTCCTGGCTGAACCGCCAACTGTCAACTTACTCTGCCATCAACTACCAACTTGCTCTGCCGTCCTGGGTCAACTCGTTTACCTGGCAATTGTCAATTTCTCTGAACTGCTACCTGTCAACTGGCTCAAACCCCAACTGCCAACTTCCTTGACTACGAACTGCCAACTGTCGACTTTCTCAACCGCCAACTGTCAACTTGCTCAATCGTCAACGGTCAACAGTCTCCTTGCTTAACCACTAATGGGCAACTTGCTGAGCCGTCAACTGTCAACTGGCTCAATCATCAACTGTTAACCTGCTCAATTGTCAACTGTCAACTATCAAATGTCAACTGGTTCGACCACCAACTGTCAACCGGCTCAACCGCCATCTATCGACTTTCTCAACCACCAACTGTCAACTTAATCTACCGCCAACTGTCAACTGGCAACTGGATCAACCGTGAACTTGCTCAACCACCAACTGTCAACGTGCTCGACCACCAACTGTCAACTTGCCCAACTACCAACTGTCAACTGGCTCCCTCGCTCTACTATGAACTGGCCAACGGGCTCAATTATCAACGGCCTTCATGGCTGAACCATCATCTGGCACCTTGCTCGATCGTCAACTGCCAACTGTCAACTTACTCTGCCGGTGACTGGAAATTTGATTATCCACCAACTGTCAACTAACCCTGCCGGCGACTGTCAACTTGCTCAACTGTCAACTGATAACTCGCAACTGGCAACATGCTCAACAACCGCCAACTGTCAACTTGCTCAATCGTCAACCGTCAACTGTCAAACGGCTTAACCACCAACTGTCAACTGGCTCCCTCGTTCCACTATTAACTGTCCAATGGGCTTCCTGGCTGACCGGCCATCTGGCCAACCGTCAATTTGCTGAACTGCCAACTGGCTTGCTAGCTTACTTGCTGAACCATCTGGCACCTTGCTAAACCACCAACTATCAAATGGTTGATCCGCGCTCTGGCACCTTGCTCAACCACCAACCGTCAACTTGCTCAATCGTCAACTGTCAACTGTCAACTTGCCCAACTACCAACTGTCAACTGGCTTAACCACCAACTGTCAACTGGCTTAACCGCCATCTGGCAACTGTCAACGGGCTTAACCGTTATCCGGCAACTTTCTCGACCAACTGTCGACTT